TCGAGATAAACCTTATACATGCACTTTCCTTGCGCTCTACAGTCGCCTGTTGGCCCTCTTGATAATCGAGTCGCAATGGGAAGCCCAAGAAAGGTCCTGCGAGATATAGACCCCAAGAAGCTTGAAGCAGGATACACGCTCGATAAAGGCACCACCTACTGCGATGGGCTGCCAGCTGCAACTGTTTTATCTAAGAAAGTCAAAAGACAACTCCTTGCACTTCAATGGATTAAGGCGCATGTTATTTGAGATCGCGTATGACTCAATTTCGTTAACAATGAAATTTAACATAGAAGGGGAGTTTCTTGGGACCACCTCCAGGACAGTTAAGTCATCAACATATTTTGCTCTCGGAACCCAAGATGAGACAAGGCCATTGACCATTATTGCAAATAAGAGAGGGCCAAGTTTAGTACCCTGAGGGATACCACCGTTTAAGTCCCTAGCTGTTGAGGTGGTGTCCATGAGACTGATAAACTGTGTCCTACCTTCTAAGAAGGCAGCAACCCATCTTAACAAAGCATTATGTACGTCAAACCCTGAGAGTTTATGCAACAGAATGTTATGATCTATTAAGTCAAAAGCCTTTCNTGGGAAGCCCAAGAAAGGTCCTGCGAGATATAGACCCCAAGAAGCTTGAAGCAGGATACACGCTCGATAAAGGCACCACCTACTGCGATGGGCTGCCAGCTGCAACTGTTTTATCTAAGAAAGTCAAAAGACAACTCCTTGCACTTCAATGGATTAAGGCGCATGTTATTTGAGATCGCGTATGACTCAATTTCGTTAACAATGAAATTTAACATAGAAGGGGAGTTTCTTGGGACCACCTCCAGGACAGTTAAGTCATCAACATATTTTGCTCTCGGAACCCAAGATGAGACAAGGCCATTGACCATTATTGCAAATAAGAGAGGGCCAAGTTTAGTACCCTGAGGGATACCACCGTTTAAGTCCCTAGCTGTTGAGGTGGTGTCCATGAGACTGATAAACTGTGTCCTACCTTCTAAGAAGGCAGCAACCCATCTTAACAAAGCATTATGTACGTCAAACCCTGAGAGTTTATGCAACAGAATGTTATGATCTATTAAGTCAAAAGCCTTTCGGAAATCAGCAAAAAACAATCGGGCAGAGTAATTGCCGCGGGTTTTTCTAGTACAAGCTGGAGAATATAAGCAATAGCCTGTTCAGTTGATTTTCCGGGTGTTGCAAACTGCTTAGCGTCGAGATGCGAGTACACGTTATCTGGAAAAGCAATACAAAGCTACTCTGGGTGGTGGTGGTGGTGGCTTGGCGGGGGTGGGGCGGTTGAGTGGTGAGGGTGGCATCAACACGCTCCCCAGATTGTCTAACATAAGGGTCAAGTGTTAAGCTTTTCTCTTACATTCTATATCATAATGGTTAAGATACCATTAAGGCGACAGTGTCAAAACCGTCGCGTCCTCTAAAACTTCAGCGCTATTCCTGGCTAGCATACCAACTCGCTTACTTTGACAAATGAAGACAGAAAGAAAAATTAACATTCATTTGTAAACATTGGCAATTACACATCAAAGCCGTGTAGTGACAGCAAAGAAATGAACCAAAAATTGTGCTTCACCGTGCAAAGTGTTGCCTTTTTTGCTAACCTAAACCCATTGCTATTTTTCGATATTTTGGCCGTTCTCGTTGCCGTCTTGGCCACGAGGGCGACGTCAATGAGAACATCAAAAAAGCAAAAGGTTTAATAGGCAAGGCGGCACACTTACTTTGTACATTTCTCAGTCGTTCCTGTACAACCACCACATGAAACTGATTTCCTTATACACGTTTTATGGAGGACGTAAACAAACGACGAAGAGTTATTATTTCTTTCTCTGAACTTGGGTAAAATCCCCTAAAATTCAACTCCAGGAAAATTCACCTACATTTGATATTTTACGCAAGTCGGAATAAACGCAACAAACTTTGAAAAAAGCGCATTTATTGAAAGCCGAAAGTTGCATTGCTGCTTAAGCTCCCGATGATACACTCCCTACACTGCACTGAATAGACAGTGACGGACTTAAGTGAAATGGAGTGTAGACACAAAATAGCTTCCGATTAACCGGTCTTACGTTATGAATAGTCTATCCGTCACCATAGAAACGAGATGGAATTGCTTCTATAGGATCGTTGCTGCCGGATTAACACGCCGGTCAACCATTGGCCAATCTTTAACCCTGACCCTAATAACGGTTCTACAAGTCTTTGTAAAAGTTATTTGAAAAACGCTGCCCATTAGTTCCTTTCCCGTTTCTAAGATAGCGAATTTCCGAGGTTTCCTTAGCGAGGCCTGGTGTCAACATTGAAATGAAAATGAATTAAATTTGCGAGTGAGCGAAAAGACGTCTTAATTATAGGATGACCACCAAGATAGACTTTAAGGCTGCCTCCACATGGTACCGAGCGAATTTTCAACCCGCCGAAAAAATTTGACCGGGTGTTCTGTTCACACGGAACCGTTCAGTATTTTCAATCTGTTCACACGGAACGATGAACCAGCTTGAATTTGATTTAACTTTTTCACATTCTCAACTCCAGAACTCATGATCAGAGCATGATCACGGACTAGAGCGGATTTAAAAGCGTGAGCCGCTTTGGGGTGGAGACTGCTTTTTCAGTGGTTTTCTGCCATCTGCCCATGCACAGTGCTTAACAAATCAAAAAAGGTGTCGCGCACATCCGTGCAACCACGCCATTGCAGTACAAAAACGTACACGCTAATGGTGTTCACACTACTGACACTGGCTCAAAATTTTAGCTTTCGAATTTTTGAACAGCTTGGCGTTTAAATTTCATCTTATAACGATTAGCATGGTACCGTTTAAACAGAACACCTAAACTCACGAATTTTCAACCGGTCTGAAATTCATTCGGTACTGTGTGAACATAGCCTAAAGGAGAGGCTAGAGAAACGGCTTGGACTGGCCTTTGGGCCTTGCGTTAGGAGGTAAAATAGCCGTCTGCAAGAAAGCTTTTGATATGGGGGATATCATGAGAAGAGCTTGCTCGCAGGCAAGCAATAAAACAAAGACAAACAACTGTATTTTTTGGTGAATTAATTGATTTATTTAATGAAGATCCACAAGAAATAAGTCATTTATGTAAAAAAAAACAGCAGCGCACATACAGTAACAACAACAATATACTTGTGTACCAAACCAGCTTTAGTTATATACATAAAAAAGATTTATGATACATGTGAATTGAAATCAAACATAAAGAACAACACATTCATATGAACCCTGAGAAGTTTTTTTTAAATACAAGTTGCTTATTGATTTTGTCTGTATTTCAATTTATATACTAATCTCAAGATTCAAGAAATCAGGTCTGTACAGCAGTACATATCTTCGCCATATGTAAGTTGTGAGATTATTTCCCCCTGTGTTTTTTAATCCTGGGCTAAAATGTTAGATTCATGACGGACGTATTAGCAAGAAATCTAAAGTACAAGAGACTGTTACTGGACAGAAACTGGGATATTCAGTCCATAGAACAAACTTACAGTAAGAAAGGATGTGACCCCCTTTACCGCTGATGGGGCTTGCTAGATATAGGCCTCGAGAAAAGAAACAAATTAAATCGTTATTTTACTGGATCTGTTTGTATTTCAAGGGGTGTTATTCGAGCATATATCGTGTTTGCGATATGTCGTGTTTTGCAAGTAATTTTTTGGGCCGCGCGTTCAGGAACTTAAAAAAACACTGGAAAGCCAAGCTATCAAAAACCTGCTGGAACTTTGGCAAAAAAAAAAAACGAAGAGGTTTTTCCCCATAACTAAGTGCAACTTAAAAAAACGGTGCATGAAGAATTGGTTGATTTTAGTTTAATTGTTTTTGACATCCAACTTTTGATATTTGCTCAACATTTTGTCTTCAACAATATAAAGCTCAGCTCACTCTCTCTCATTTTTCTCTAGAGACATTCCGATTTTTACCATCTCATATGTATTGCCTTATCACATGTATTTCGGCGTTTCTTTTCTGCGCTTTCTTCACAGCCATATGTTTTTATTTACCTAAATAGTATCAAAGAGCACTATGTGTCTTTGCGCAAGAAAAGTACATAGTTCAACAATCACAGGCTGGAACCACCTTGGGTGGCGCCACAAACTTCCAACGGCTTGATACGTTTTCACATACTT